AATTCTTCTGCTATGCAGCTCTAAACAAAGGAAACTATGGGCAAATATTCACCTCTGGCACTATAAGTAATCCTTGACTTACGACAGTTCATTTAGTGACCATTCAAAGTTACAATGGCCTTGAAAAAAAAGTGACTTCTTACCGTTTTTTTCACACTTACAACCATTGCAGCATCCCCAACGGTCATGCGGTCAAAATCCGGCTGTTTGGCAACTGACTTGTTTTTATGACGGTTATGCAGGGTCACGTGATCCCCCTTTCGCGACCTTCTCACAAGCAAAGTCAGTGGGGAAGCCGGGTTATCAACTGCAGTGATTCGCTTAACGCCTGTGGCCAGGGAAGTTGTAAAATGGGGCAAAACCAGCGGTGAAATGCTCCCGGTTCGGACCGGATCACTTTTTTTAAAAAGCCTCTGATGATCAGGCAACTCAGCTTGGATCGTCAGAGCCTTTTGAAAGCATTTTTTTACAACCTCTTCGCTGAAGAGGTTGTAGAAAAAATGGTTTTAAAAGTTAAAAAAATATATATTGGCCACGCCCACCCAGTCACCCCCCCCCGCAAGCCATGCCCACAGAACCAGTAGTAACAAATTTTAGATTTCACCACTGGGCAAAACTCACTTAGCAACAGAAATTGGAGGCTCCATTGTGGTCGTAAGTCGAGGACTACCTGTAGCTGAAAGAAGCTCTGATGACCTACCAACAGGTGAGGAGGAATGCATAAAGACCTTTCTTTTCTTTTCTTTATGAAACCCACAGATAATTTAGCGCTGGGGTTTAATTTAGGGAAGGAGAACGAGAGAGGGAGAGAGGGAGGGAGGGAGGGAGGCGTTTAAATAGAGCTGCCAATGCAAAACAATGAAAAGGAAAAAGAAGGGATAAACCTTTGCCTGCGTTAATCCATAGGCATAGCTACAGATTTAGAAATAATTGTTATAATTTGCTCAGGAATACAGTACATCTCAATATAGCAGACAAGGTAGTAAGCAGGTGATAGATTTGTTTCCTCGGTGTGTGTGGACCAGGTGTTGATCTGCTGATTTCAAGGTTCCTGGGCTTATTTCTGATGATATTCCATTTTATAGCATAGATAAACAGTTATTTATTTATTTATTTATTTATTTATTTATTTATTTTAAAATTTTATTTAACCCTATGGCAAATTCATGGCTTTACTTTTGTTTTCATGGACTTTGCTTTTTCACGGAGAAGAAGTGTTGGGTGGAATGTGGAATTCTGGAACCATGTTTCTTTCCTCTCCGCCACCCCCCCCCCAAAAAAAATAAGAATTAAAAAGCTAAGAAAGATTTCTGATCTTTCTGTCTGCAACAGGGCTGTCCAACCTTGGCAATTTTAAGACTTTCTCATAGCTGGCTGGTGAATTCTGGGAGTTGAAATCTACAAGTTTTAAAGTTGCCAAGGTTGGACATCCCTGGTTTTACAAGGTGAAATTAATTCTAATCTGTCCTCCAGAATAAAGAAGACAAACAAATGCCTCTTTTTGCAGAGGAAGAAAACTTTTAGGAAATGAATAGAGAATATCTGTAGCTCAGGGCTGAATTGCATTATTTGAAAGGACCAACGATCAAGATTCTTAAAAGTAAAAGGAAGGGATGTAAAGTTGATTTATTTGATCAAGGTTAAAAGAGACCTGTTGTTATCTGTGGTAACGCTTAATGGACTTGTGTTGCTAATCAGGAATGAATGCTAAAGTTTAAAGCAATATTTCTCAAGCTTGGCTACTTGAAGATGTCTAGACTTCAACTCCCAGAATTTTCCACCAGCCCTGCTGGCTGGCTGTGGAATTCTGGGAGTTGAAGTCCAGACATTCTGGGAGTTGAAGTCCAGATGTTTTCAAGTGGCCAAGGCTCAGAAACACTGACTTAAATAATTCAATTGTAGATAAGAGATGAGCTATGGGAAGAAGAGATCATTTGTTGTATTTTTAAGAGGGTGATAAGTTATTCAAATGGTTTGTACTGGTGATGAAGTCATTGCATTATATGCTTTTCTTTTTCATTAATATTCTTATTTTTTTCCTTCTCTACTTTGTCCTTTTTTTCCCTGCCCATTTGAACTTTTTAATGTCTTTTTTCTTTTAATTTCTATTATCTTTCTATATAAATGGCTGTGTGTGTGTGTGTATGTATGTTCCAGCATAACCCTGGAACGCCTCGAGCAATTTCAACCAAACTTGGTACATAAGATGACTTACTCTCTGGAAACAAATACTGTGGAGGTAAGACACCCCTAACACACTTGGTGTGTGTGTGTGTGTGTGTGTGTGTGTGTGTGTGTGTGTGTGTGTGTGTTTTCCAGCTTAACTCTGGAAAGCCTGGGCCGCTGAAATGAAAAGGAATGAATTATATCTATAGTGTCAAATCACAGTACTTTTGATAGTGATAGTGTCAAAAGAACTTGGAGTCAAGTTCTGTTAAGATACAGCCTGTTGTGTCTTAAAATGGCTTCTACTGTACAGCACAATGGAGTTGCCATGGTAATGGCTTCACACTACTCCACAAGGGTGCTCCCTCTGGTAAGGGGGATTGATTTGACACTATAGATATAATTCATTCCTTTGCCTGTCTAATACAGGATTGGAGTAAATAAATATCTGGAAAACGCCGGGTTATCAGCTAGTGTTTATTAAAAGTGAGACTAAAAGCCTTTTTTTTAAAAAAGGAAGCAGGACTTTCTTTATTTTCATTTCTTCAAAAGATGATCGACAAAACTTACTCTCAGTGAAATCAAAGCTATCCTTGCAGTACAACGCACCTATAGAGGACATGAATCTCCTTTTAATGTAGCCCTTAATTTGGACATTCTTGAGTTGTTCCTGTCAGAAAAATCCTGGCTTCAGTCCTTCTTATTCTTCCCCAAATGCGTTGGTCTAACAGAGCTCTCGTGTGCATTTATCTCTTGAAGTTCTCTGCCAACTATATCTTGATGGTTTTCAATGACTTTGACATACTTATGCTATCTGTCTTCTTTTTCTTACTTGCTGAGGAAAGTGTTAGACTTGTTCTTTTTGAGTCTTTTCTTCTACAGCACCTGTCAGGTCTATTATATTGCCACTATATTCCCTCCTAAAGACGATAATTCAATGGTAGTTGAATGAGACTTGGCTTCCTTATTTAAAAGCATCTCCATTCCTATGAAACTTGGGATACCATACACTAATTTAGGAAAGAGAGAGCCAATAACAGATTTTGCCCTTGATGACCCAAAACACAATTTCATTTCTACATAATTGAAAGCAGATCTGGGTAATATTTTCTCTATGAAAGAGACACTTGTATGCACAACAATTAGGTTAGGCTCATCTGTAGTATACCATGTGCATCCTGGGGTCAAGCTTCGTAACCTCTACTTCAGGCAATGCCTGAAAAAGTTCATTACATTTTTGTAGTATCAGAGCAGGAAAAATAAATTATACAAACCATGATTTTTCATTAGCATAGTGAAAACAAACAAACAAGCTTCACTCAAAATTCAAGCCACAAAAGGACTGGACCGCCAAGACTCCAGTTGACATCAAAAGATAGAAATATGTCAATTACTACCATGTTTTCACGAAAATAAGACTGGGTCTTATTTTCTTTTGGGCCCCAAAATAAGCACTAGGGTTTATTTTCGGGGAGTGTCTTATCCTTTTCCATATATGGGAGGCCCACTTCTTCTGCTTGCTCGCAGTGGGGTAGGAGGCCATGTGGCACACTAGTGCTACCACTGTGAGGCAGGGGGTGGAGCTGCCCCACATGCCCTGCACCAGTTTACCTCAGAGCTCCGCAGCCAGCCAACCATGCCCCAACACCTGCCTCGCCTTGCAGCGGCAGTTGCATCAGTTCCATCCAGCAGGAATCAGAAAGGTCAGCTGTTTGGCGGTTCGAATCCCTAATACAGGTCTCCTGCGCGAGCAGGGGGTTGGACTAGATGACCTCCAAAGTCCCTTCCAACTCTGTTAAATATTGCATTTGATCCTGCGTGGCCACCGGCCCACTTCTTCTGCTTGCTTGTGGCCGCAACAGAGCAGGAGGCCGAGTGATGGACCGGTGCCAAAGCCGCGAGGTGAAGCTCAGCCTCCTGCTCTGTTGAGGCTGCGAGCAAGCAGAAGTGGGCTGGTGGCCACATGGGCTCCTGATGCAGATGACTGCTGGTGCTGCCACTGCGAGGCAGGTGTCGGGCCATGGATGACCTGGCTGTGGGGTCCTGAGGTAAGCTAGGAGGGGTGTGTGTGGGGCAGCTCCACCCACCCCCACCTCACTTTGTGGCTGTGGCATCATAAGCAACCAGAATAGCTGCACAGGGTCTTAAGTAGGGCTTATTTGTGGGGTAGGCTTATATTAGGCATGTCAACTCGTAAAGCATTCCTGGCCTGCTCTCAAGTTGCCATAGGTAGGAGGGGGAAAAATTGACAGAGCAGCATGGCAGCCACAACCAGAAGCACATTCCATGCATACCTTTCTCAAGGTTGTATTCCAGGTTACCAGAATCAGCCGGAGAGGTGTGATCTCTACAGCCCGGGAAAGTGCTCTGTTGGAGAATGTGATTTATGACAAACCCCGGGAGGAAACAGGGTCATAGTTGGGCCGTAAATTATGTGGGGCAGAGCTGACTTCACTTGAGTACGTGCCGACATGTTGCTCCTATTAAATAACTGGATTTCTTTTGAAACTTGGTTCGAGGCTCATGGTTTAATTAGGGCATCTGTCGGAAGTCTGACAAGGCACATGTGTAAAAACATGCTAGGTCTTATTTTCAGGATAGGTCTTATTTTCGGGAAAACAGGGTCCCTAGCGCATTTGTTTATTCATCGTTAACCAGTGGAAGCCCCTCATTTCTAAATGAAAGAATTCAAGGTAGAATTGGATGGTCCAGAAAAGAAGCCACAACCCATTTTTATTAATAAAGCCCTGAGGACCTCTAACCCTGAACAATTATACAAAGATGACGGAGCCTCCTCATGTTCATTTCATTAGCAAACATCCACCAAGTCTTACCTTGGACGATAAGATGAACTCTTGACGTTTTGGGATGATTGTCTGTCTGTACAGAGCAGGTGTAGGGGCCTTCATCATATATGTCCACATTATGGATCTTGATACTGTATTGAGTTTTGGTGTTTGTGAGAATGACCACCCGGTCATCTATCGACCACTTATCATTTCCAGCATAAAGAATAGTGCTACGGTTCAGCCAAGCTACTCGCGTGACTCGGTCATCCACAGTACACCTAATAAAATAAATAAAGAGAATGAAAAAGAATTGGTTGTTAGTGCTTTCTGGGGGAAGAAAATAAATAATAAAAATAATAATATCACAAATTCCTGTGCCTGTTCTCTATTATTTTTCAATCGTTTAGCCTTGGAGGTCTTCTAGTCCAACCCCCCTGCTTAGGCAGGAAACCCTACACCACTTCAGATAAATGGTTATCCAATATCTTCTTAAAAACTTCCAGTTTTGGAGCATTCACAACTTCTGGAGGCCAGTTGTTCCACTGATTAATTGTTCTAACTGTCAGGAAATTTCTCCTTAGTTCTGCATCCATGATTTTTTTTTTTTAAGTAAAATAAAATTATGGATAAAACTAATCAGATGATATATTTCCCCCTTTCTCCTGTTGGGATGAAATTCAACGTACTCAGAATTTACATTTTTGTTCCTTTTGAATGGAAACCATCTGAGGCTGTTTGCTTAAAATGCTTGAGTGAAATATTGTGTTAAAATTTGAGATTCTGGTGAACATCTGTTACTCGGGTGTAGGTGCTGATCCATTACAAGACCCTCACTTAACGTGACCTCCCCATTACAAGGCCTACTGACCACCAATACGATTCACACCAATACTGATATCTCCTAAATTCAGGGGTGGGCTCCTGGGGGTTCGGGAGGGTTCGGGCAATCCTCTAGCCAAGGATCACTGGGGTTCAGCAAACCCCCAAATGCCATCTTTGGCTGGCCACGCCCACGCCCACCCCTCCCACTCCATCCCGCCACTCCCAGGAGTCTCCATGCAGCCTGTTCATCATTCCAGGTACGTGCAGGGCTGCACGGAGGGTCTGAGAGGGCAAAAAATGGTCCTACCAGAGGTTCTGGACCTCTGGAAATGGGCTTGTTTCTGGCCTCCGGGGAAGCAGTTTTCGCTCTCTCGGAGGCTCGAGGAAAGCCTCTGGAGCCTGGGGAGGGTGAAACCCCACCCACTCCCACTGTGGTGCAGGCGGCCGACTAGGCCACGCCCACCATATCCATGCCCACCCAGCAAGGGGGCAGCAAACCCGTTGCTAAAGGATCTGAAGCCCACCCCTGCCTAAATTCCACTGAAGATATTACCTAGCCTGGTAATGAAACATTTGGAAACCAACCCACAAGCTTGTGGAATGAACTTCTACCCTCACATTGTCTTAAAATATTTCTGCTTATGGATAATTACAATGTGAGTATACATATACAGCAAAACTAAAAGATGTCAATAGAGAATCATGTACCCAACTCTCATTTCCAAACTGTGCAAAAACAGCCAGCTTCTAAGATGTTTTCAGAACCCAAGACCCAGATATTTGTGATAGTGCTAAATCAGATTTAAGGAAGCTTTCTGAATAAACCACAATAGCTGGCTTTACATAGCAATAGCACTTAGACTTATATACCTCTTCATAGTGCTTTAAGCAGTTTTCAGAGTCAGCATATTCATCATCTTCTTCATTTAATGACCCCGTAATCCCTTGCGGGGTGGAGTCTGAGCAACTGAATGGAGCTAGCAGAGTGTTTTAATGGCCGGATGCCCTTCCTGTCACCAATGCGGAGTTTTGTTCAGCAGACACATTCTCATTGTGCCCAGAGAGAGAAATATCTGCCTTTACCTAGGATGGAACTCACAGACTCCTGATTGTGAGGCAAGAGCTCCACCTCTAGGCCACCGTATCACTCCTACAGTATTAGCATATTTACCCCCAACAATCTGGGTCCTCATTTTACAGACCTCAGAAGGATGGAAGGCTACGTCAACCTTGAGCCTTGTGAGATTCGAACTGCCAAATTGCAGTCAGCTGGCAGTCAGCAGAACTAGCCTGCAGTACTGCACTCTAACCACTGTGCCACCACAGCTCGTACCTTGTTGAGCCCCTGTCCATGGTTTCAAAGCATAATAACAGGGCGTAGGTATCTTGCTCAGCCACATGTATATTACATGCATACATCAGGCTAGCCCTTAAACCATGGTTCGTCAACCATAATAGTTGTGTAAGCCAAGGCCGATCGAAGCAAATTGTATTAGCATGCTCTATACACCAAACCTGCATCCATTTATTTCTCAGAATGCAGACTGTTGTCATTTTCACACCGAGAAAGTATGTTCATATGCTCCAGAGAACTGCTTTCCAAGTATCGAGGATGAAACACATACTGTGACCTGGAAGATCCTCCTAACTCACAATGTAGATCTCTAAAACTCAGCTGCAGCTCAGCACGGCATTAAATGGCAAGAGAATTCCACAAAGAAAAGCCCTAACTAACCACAATAAATTCAACTATTCATTAGGCGGAATGAAAAGCTGCCCCTTGGTTTTGCATCTGACAAAGAGTCAATGCAACAGACTGAGGTGGATTTTCAATGCAAACTCAGTAGAGGAACATGCACTGACACTACAGTGAAGATCTACTGTACGTCTCCCGGAGATCAAAACGTGTAACTTGAGTGGCTGAAGTTGCATGAGATCTAAAAAGACTGTGAGGTTCAGAACTGCCAAAGAAGCCTTCGGTTTACGTTGAGCAAACATTTGCTCAAACCTATCATCTTGCCTTGCTTTAGAGGATGGTGTAAATAGCTCCAGAGACGACAACAATTGTACAAATTAGATTTCAATTGGGCCTCCTTTTTCCTGTTGATTGAGTACTAAAGACAGTCCTTACCTGGCAAATCTCAAACAGTAAGTATTTAGCCTGGCCCTAAAATGCTTTTTTGACCTGGATTACTAAGAATCCCCATCGACATTGGTAGCTTGCTTGGTTTTTCAACCAACATGCAAGTACCCTGTTTCCCCGAAAATAAGACATCCCCTGATAATAAGCCCAATCAAGCTTTTGAGCGCATGCGCTAAAATAAGCCTCCCCCCAAAAAATAAGCCCTCCCCAAAAATATTTAAACGCAGAGCTGGAAATCAGGTAAGACAGCAAGAGGAGCCCCATCTTGCTCCATGCGCCTCAGAATAATAAGACCTCCCCAAAAATAAGACCAAGTTCTTATTTCGGGGTTCAAAAAAATATAAGATAGGGACTTATTTTAAGGGAAACATTGTAGCATTTGTAAGATGGCCTCATCCCTTCCATAGATATCATCTGTGAGATCTAAGGGTTTCTCAAATTACACTTACTTCTATAGAAAGTCAGCACCTATCCCCCATCCTAGAAGAATGAAATCTTTTGAGGAATATATATATATATAAAAAAGGCAGAATATTATATTTCCCCAAACAAAGGGAGAAATGGAGAAACACAGTTTTTTTTAGAGGCAGGAAGCAGCCCCAGTCTCCCCGCCCCCAAGCAGAAACTGAGGAGGCCAGCTTTTAGAAATGCAGATTTGGTAATCCATTCAAGACAAGGATATTTTGAAACTCCCTGCAGCAAAGTCTGAACAAAGGCAGAATGGTAGGATTAGCCCCTCAACCAAGATCCAACACAGGACAAAGCCACAATAGGAATTGCTCAACACCCTTTCAGAACACAAGTCCCTTCATTGCACCGTCCCAGAGCAGTCCAAACTTCACCTGGGAGCTCAGATAAACAATAAACTAGAGGCTGGTCAAATTAACTCAGAGAAGCATCTAGGATTTGCATTTCCTCTTTTGCCTATAGAGCCAGCGATGACCCCTACATGACCCCATAGTAATCTGACAACAGCCAATAGAATACTAAAGGACATGTTCTTGCACAGGAACAGGAAGCTCAAATATAAAGCCCAGAGAAGGTATTAAAAAAAACCCACTCTCAACTCCAGTTTGCAGCAGGAGGATTGGACTAGAAGACCTCCAAGGTCCCTTCGAACCAGGGGTGAAATGCTCCCGGTTCGGACTGGATCACCCGATCCAGTAGCGATGGCAGTGGGTGGTTCAGAGAACCAGTAGCAGAAATCCCTGCCCCCCTCCCCAGCCCAGCTGAGCCGTGCGATCATCAGAGGCTTTTTTTATTTTTTACTTTTAAGAGCATTTTTTCTACAAATGCTTTTAAAAGTTAAAAAAAAAAGCCTCTGATGATCGCATGGCTCAGCTGGGATCGTCAGAGCCTTTGAAAAGCATTTTTTTCTATAACCTCTTCGGCTGAAGAAGTTGTAGAAAAAATGCTTTTAAAAGAAAAAAAAAGCCTCTGATGATCAGGCAACTCAGCTCTGATCGTCAGAGCCTTTTAAAAGCATTTTTTTTTACAATCTCTTCACCCGAAGAGGTTGTAAAAAAAATGCTTTCAAAAGTAAAAAAAAAAAAAAATTGGCCACGCCCACCCAGTTACATTACCCCCCCCACCAAGCCACGCCCACAGAACCAATAGTAACAAATTTTACATTTCACCACTGGTTCAAACTTTTGTTATTCTGTTAGACTCACTTTTCTCTTTCCATTCACAAGTTTCTTCTGCGTTCCCCTCTGCTGAGTTCTAGAGCATCTTACTTTCTACCCATCTTCATCTCAACTTGTGACGTGGCTGCCTAAAGTTCAGAGGCGGGTTGCCCCCGGTTCGGACCGGTTCTATAGAACCGGTAGTAAAACCGTCGGGAGGCTCCGCCCACTGACCCTGACATCATCAGAAGCGATCTACGCATGCGATCCCGTTGCGAACTGGTAGTAAAGATAAGTAGAACCCACCCCTGCTAAAGTTCTAATATCAGAACCTTCTCTTTATTCAAATTAACTCCCGGAGAGCTAAGTACATCTCTAGTTAAGTTGAGCCCTGAGGGAATTGCAGTCGGTTGGACTATTACTCTGTCTCTCAGTTCATTATAATGAATAATAAAGAGATACTTACATGAGTTTTTTGTTAAATTATTCATTGTATGGACTGGTAAAATCAGGAGAGTAATCTGTAAAACAGACAATGTCCATGCCTGTAATCATCTAAATATCTAGGCGAAGGATTTTCAAGCCAACTCAACACACCTCTCATTAAAGATAAAGTGTGTGTTTTTACTGTTTGATGAGACAGTGTTATAGTGATTCTTTCTTTTTGCTTTTTGCTTTGTGCAGGGGA